ACAAATAATTTTTTAGTGTAAGCATCCTCCATACAACACTGGGCAACTGTACAACCCAGAAAAGGAGCTGAAAACATTGGCTTTAGTCTTTTGAGAGCTTTATACAATAGTTTGCCCAGAATGGTCCACAGAATTTCCTTGAGCAGAACTGCAGGATTTCCAGCCAACAGAGGCTCTATACACAGCAGTTTGACACCAAGACTGCAATACTGGTTGATTAAACTTGGAAACACCTGCTATTGTGTGACGTTGTGATGCAATAAGAAAGACATATTTGATCTTTATCTTTGGTTCTTGGCCAGAGCTCCTTTAAAAGTGTAACTTTCCAAGTGGTAAGAGTGACAGAAGCACCTTTTGTAATAATATTTGGTTTTTATCCCTAGCCTCTGAAAGAGCTCAGAAGCAATAAAGGTGAAAGTAGTGGCATCTTTTGTTATTCATAACAAGCTCTTTTCTTTTTTTGGGGGGGGTGGTGGTTGAGAGAGAGTCAGCAGAGGAGCAAGGGCAGGTAAAGGAGCCTGGAGGAATGTGCATATATGTGTAAGGCGCTCTTTTCAACCACACCTGAATTTATGTTAATCAGGCAATTTTTGTTAAGTCCTTAAGGATGGGGAGTGAGAGGCACACCCTGGCTGCCAGGGGGAACCAACCCCAGGATTAGTGCTTTAGGGCTTCAGCCCTTCCCCTTCACTTCCCAGAAAGAAAGGAGCTGGAGTTTGATTTCAGGACCAATGGCCAATGATGTAGTCAATCATTCCGATAATGAAGCCTCTATAAAAGGCCTAACCAAAGGAGTTCTATCTCCACAGGGACAAAATCTATTATGCCAAGGACCCTTGCAGACCTTACTCTGTCTCTCTCATCATCTAGCTTATCCATTTGAATCCTGTAAAAATATCCTTTGTGGGACCAGCAGATAACATAATGGTTACATTGCTGGACTCCCACGTAGTTGATCACAGTTCAAGTCCTGAACCTGGCAGCTTAAAACTCATGCTGGGAGCATGTCCGTGCATGCTCAAGATCCCAAAAGGAGAATAGAGGAGAAGGGACTGAAGGGTGATTTCTCGCTATCTGTCTCTGTGTCTCTCTAGCGAGTGCTCGTCCTAGAGCAAAAATCTCTAAAACAAACAAACAAAAAATCCTTTGTAATAAATAAGTAATAGTAAGTAAACTGTTTCCCTAGATTGTGCAAGCTTTCCAGCAAATTACTGAATAAAGAGTGGGTCATGGGAACCAGCAATTTGTATCCAAGTCAGATGGAAGTTGTGGGTAACCTGAGAACAGCTACTTGCGACTGGCATTTGAGGTGGGGTAGTTTTGTGGGAATGAACCCTTAACCAGTGGAATATAATAGAAGGCTTCTCCAGGTAGACAACATCAGGGTGAAACTGAATTGTAGCTCACCAGGTTGGTGTCCACAGAGGACTGCTTGGTGTGGAAAACTCGCACAATTGATGTTAGATATGTCCTAAGAGTAGAGGATGAAAAGCTTTGTGATTTCTTTGTTTTTGCTTTTTTCCTCCCTTTAATTTGGTAAATAGATGCTGCCCTACACCATCTTCACCCCTTATCCCTCCTTCAAGGACTGCATCTTCTCACAGTTCAGCAACTAAAAGATGAATGTCCAGTGAAACAAAGGGCTTTAGTATCAGTCCCGCTAAATCCTGACGCCAGCATCTATCCTGCCAAACTTCTTCTAATTATTAAATGTTTTAGCTGTCATCCCCACACAGTAGTGAGAGTCTACATAGCCATAGAAAAGGGCTTGAAAAGTAACATCTTAACAGTGACACTAAATTTAGTTTAAAGCTAAAAGCTGAACAATGCCAGGCCAGCATTTAAGGCTGATCAAAACAATGCACAGCAATGTCCTCCTTGTCCTCCCTAGCCAAGATGTCCCTGGGAGTTGGTGTCATAGTCACTAACAGGACACTCATTTCCTACATCAGTCGAACCCTTTCAGGTGGAACTCTTACTTGGAAGATTGAAAATTAAACATATAAGAACCAAATGACACTGGCTAAAGCGGGGAGAATGTCTTGGAGATGAAGTACTATCAGGACCAAAGTATTAAAAAAAAAAATGACCAATCTAGAAAATAATCTAGATAAACTATTCCAATTTAAAAATATGATTATTAGAAAAGTAAGAAACAAGTTTATCAAACATTTACTATGTAGAAACATTATTTACATATCATATTTATTATATGTGATATATGATTTATATATATGATATATATTTTTATTTATATAAACTATAAAAGGCTAGCCCAGAAAAACATTTTTTATGTAATGCTGTATGAAAAGACTAAACATAGTTATAGAAAATAATTCACCTCCACAAATTAATTATAAGGAATTGATCTTAAATATTGGGGCAGGAGGTAAGGATATAAGAAAAATTTTGTGTGTTCATGTTATTTATTTCCAAAAAATAGTACTGTTACAAAATTGGAAACAACTTCAGATCCAATAATAAAGAAACAATTAAATAAATATTGTTATACTACTTAGTGAAATATTAAATCACTTAAAACACATGTATAGGGCCATCTGGTGGTGTGGGGTTCAGGCAGCTGGATTCCACATAGCTGACAGCATGGTTTGAATCCTGGACCTACTGGCTTTGAAAACACACCAGGTATGTGTGTGGGCATGCCCAAAATCCAGAGAGGAGAATGAAGGAGAAGGGAATGCGGCAAGCCTATATACCCGAGCCCCTACTCCTAGGGTTATTTCTCACTTTCTCTCCTCTCTCCACCTCTCTCTCTGCCTCTCTGCAGTGAGCATACACACCCTATAACAAACAAAAACAAAAAAATGCATACGAATAACAAATTTGTAACATGGATAAGCAGTGTGAGAGTCATTCTTTTTTTTTTAAAGGCTATAAAATCTAGCATGCTTACATGTTTAAAAATCCCTCACTGAAAATAAGTAATATAATAAAAAAAGGAGAATTTATAAAATTTTAACACTTGTGCTTGCTGCTGACACTATTTTTTTAATTAACTATATGTTTTATTTTCTATAAAGATTGTATATGATTTTTATTATAATAAAGTAAGTAAAGTTAAAAATAATTTCATTCATGGGGAAAAAGGAAAATCAGAAATATAGTTTAGCCAATATAATATATATACATATGTAAACAGAGTATCTAAAAACAGAAGAAAAAGGATGTAGCATGTTTACATTCCAGGCATGCAGTTTGCTGCAAGCTCAGTTTAAAGTGAGTCACCAATAGATGTCACTGTTACACTTCTCATTTGGGCACATCTCTTAAAATGCAAAACTTTACTTTGCAAATAGGGGGACAAAAACAAAAACTTTACAAATTCCTACGTCACCTCCTAAAGGAATGTAGATTGATCATCTTTCAGGTTCACTCCAAGCATTCCTATTAAGGTAAATGGAATGTCAAATGCTTTTCTGTAAAGATATACAGAGACTATGGTTTTTGGGTTTTTTTTCTTTTTGTGTTTTGTTTTTTGTTTTTTTGAGATGTTTGCTATAGGAGACATGCACTCACTGGAGAGACAGAGAGACAGAAAGCGAGAAATCACCTCCCCAGGGGAATGGCCACACCTCAATCTCTTTTCCTACATTCTAATCTCAGGATTTGGGGCAGCACATGCACATGTGCCCAGTGTGTTTTAAGCTGCTGGATCTGGGACTCAAACCGCAGTCGTCCAAGTGAGAGTTCAGCACCTTAACCACTATCCCACCCACTGGCCCTGAGACTATGGTTTTATGATGATGAAAAGTACAAGGTTCTTCTGTTCTTTGGTTATCATCCCCAAGAATATCTAGACCAAACTCAGCCATATGAAAACCAGGATCACCATCCATATGAACAGCATAGACCTCACCAAATATCATACTCGTCAAACATGTAACTTTACGTCTGAAAGCAATGGATTGTGGGAACCCAGAATTGTCAATAAAAAAAAAAAAAGAAAGAAAAAAGAAAAAACAAGTACTTCCCAGATTCCCTGGATTTGCCCCATTTGTGACAGGAAACTGAGTTGGTAAAAAGAGGTGGTGAAGGTAGTGATAGTCCAGTCTATCCTATCAGGCCATCCAAGTGTGGAAGCAGCTAAAATCCAGTCTGATGCTTTGTATCAGGGAGTCAATGCTTCTGTGTCAATAAGTATGGGAGTGTACAAGAAAGGAGAAGGCTGTTTTTTAAGTGGGTCATTCTGAATTCAGTAGATTTCCTGCCAACCTGTTCACCTGTTATTTGAGTAGCTGGGGAGAAAGAAAGGTTTCTGAATGTGTAAGAAACACAATCTATTTGGAATACACAGGAGAATCCAGAGCATATTAGTTGGCTGACATGTTACTCACAAATTCTTAGCAAAATGATATTATGAAGTGACTAGCAGCAAAGGGGTACTCCCCAAACAAGGTATAGGTAGAAAAGCTATGTGAACACAGTATTCTGAAAACACCCAGATAAATTATAAACACAGTCACTTCTATACAGAGTCACTAGTAACTTTCTAGTGCACAAATTTCAAGGCACCAAGAAATACCTTGGTTTTCCACAACTTCTTTATTTTTTTAAACAATGATCCACATATAAAATGCAGACTTAGTAGCTTTATATATATATCACTTATATTAAATGCATGTTTTTCCTTTTTCTTGTTTTTTAAGTTTTTCTCTTTTTTTGGAGAGGTTTTTACTATAGGGTGCATGTGCTTGCCAGAAAGACAGAGACAGAGAGACAGAAAGCGAGAAATCACCCCTCAGGGGGGATGTCTACGCCGCAATCCCTTCTCCTCCATTCTCCTCTCGGGATCTTGAGCATGTACGCACACACACCCAGCATGAGTTTAAGCCACCAGGTCCGGGACTCGAATCACGGTCGACTACATGGGATTCCAGCAATATAGTCATTACGCCAACTGCTGGTCCCTTAAATGCATGTTAAATGAACCTCTGTTGACCACAAAGAACCACAGCAGAAACTTAAAGATTTCTACTTACATGGAGTTCCAAGTACAACTGACTTCTGTTTGTCTTCTCTCTTTCATCATGGAGCAGAAATGGACAGGCTGGTCCTGTTCTATAAGCCAGGACCCATGGGCCTCCATCCCTGTTGCAAAGGTCTTTAGCTGTCTGCTCATTAAAGCATTCCCAGGGAAAGCTCTCAGAAGATGTACCTAAACAAACACAGAGAAGGCCGTCAGTCACACAGCAGTCAACAACCACCACCAAAAAATCAAGCCAGCCATATTTGGGGACTATTTCAGAATATCTCTTACTTCACTTTCTAAGTTATATTTTTAAGAGTTTGCTTTCCTCCAAAAATGCTTCTCCGAATCACACTTTCTGAATCACACTAAGAATTAAGGTATATATCCTCATCTTCAATGTAAAAAGATGTATCTTTTAACTGCATTCTGTGCTCTACATTCTCTCTCACCAATCCAAGCTGCATGGTTTATTCTCATTCAGATGGAATCAGAGGAGGAACTGGGGGACAGAAGTTAGGATACCTGGGTTGTTGACTTTACAACTAAAGGGGGTCACACGAGCCAAATCACTAGTATGTATGTCCTTCCAGAGTAGGAACTGAGCCTTGTTCATCTTTGTTTCTGGAAGTAGAATCATCAACACAGTACCTAGTGGCACTTGGTCAGTGTGTTGAATGTGTATGAGTGAGCACTGCATTAGTAACTTATCTGAGACTCACTTTTGTCATCTCCAGAATTGAGGGCATTAGGTTAGCTCATTCTTTCCTAAACTATGTTTGGATGATAAAAGTTAACTATGTGCCAGGCTCTGTTCTTAGCCTTGTTCTTCAATTTTTAGTGTTCCCATTATAGATGGAGAAACTGAAGCAAAAAGAAATAAAGCAGTTTGCTCAAAATCATTAAGCCAGTTAATAGTAAAGCTAGGATTTGACCCCAGCAGTTAAACACTAGAGCCCATGCTTCTAACAGCTACACTGCCTGACATTCTTGAGATGAAAATAGGTGCTCTAAAATAGAAAGACTCCAAGTTCAAATAAGTGTCAGAGAAGTCACATATTGTATTCCTTGAAGAGCCACTATTTATGTTAGTATATTAATGACCTTGCAATGTTTTTAAATTAAGGAACCTAACTGTATAATAGGGTTTCTCAAACTTATTTGACCACAGAATCCATTTAGACAGACATAGTGTTCTACTGGAACAAAGTTTGGAAAACACTAGCTTAGATCACCTCTAAAGTCTCATATTGCACTCAAGTTCCCAATCCTCTTTTAATTCCTGGTAAGTGACCTTGACAAAATATTAAGCCATTAGGCAGAAGTTAAAGCTTTAAGCTCAGGGTACTTTTGTAAGAAAGATCACTGCTGGATATATGATAGGGTGTTTATTACACTTAATCTTCATAACAGAGTATGTTTGGCAGTGACCCAAAGCCAGCCAGCAGCTTCTACCACACTGAAAACCTGACTTACAAGTAACTTGAGCTGAGAATAAGTCAGTTAGCAAAGGGGCTGTGGGATAACATGCTTTTCCTTTATATTAGAGTAGCATTTTAGAGGAAAGAAAATTGGAGAACAGCTAAGGTTTTGATTCCTTTTTTTTCAGTTCTCTGGTTTCCAATCACACTTCGAAGTGAAAGGTGAGGCAGGTCAGTGTTTCCACACTTGCCCTCAGGTAGGTGTCCATGACACCCTTCTGAGAACAGTGAGTCCAGGGCATTGTGAGTCTGCTCTCACCTCTGCAGGCATAGGGTCTAGAAGGTTTTAACCGGCTCTTTCTTCACCTGGGCCAAATACATGGCCTGGGCTTTCCTTGCAACCTACTGCCTACAAACACATAGTGTCCTGGGCTTTTAGGTCTCACATACTGCAGTGTGCATCCACTCCTACTCCAGTGACATAGGAAAAGCTTCAAAGAAGCTCAGAGAAGAAGAGCTCTGTTAAAGCACCACCTTAGCCTTTGGGTGATCCTAAAAGCAAGATAGTGTCGGCTCTATTTTAATAGATGGAGACATTAAAGCTCAGACTCCTTTTAACTTCCATCTGGTTGGATCATCCCCCTTCTAGAATATTTCTGTCCTTGATGGCAAGAAGAAATAAACCTTTTTAAATATATGGTATACTAGAGCTATATCCTATGTCATCTTGCTACGTGTGTTAATTACTAACCAGATCTCTGATTTTAAATCTCTCCACTTTTCATTTTTGTTTTGGAGAAGCTGCTGGCTTTGGGTAAAGTTAAAACAGTTTAATAAAACAGTATAAGACATTATATATACATCACAGAACACAATGTACAACATCTAAGGTAAGACATCTATATCATGAGGGACACATTGTCTGGTGAGTTTACATTCACCATTCAGTTATGTCTGGTAAATCTGCTCAAGAATTTAGAGTCCCTAACCAACACATACACATGTATACCTTCGTATACATGTGCATGCACCAATTCACAGCCACAGCGGCTAATGGGACGAAGTGTACTATCCCATTCACTCTTCATTGCAGAGGATGAGCAATGTAAAGTTTAAGCAGAAATAACGAAAATGAACTTCATCCTGGGAATGGTTTTAGTTTTAAAGAGCCAATATCTAATATTTTGTTTTAACCAGACAATAGCCCTATGAAGAAAACATGCAAGGTAAAAATCATGATGCATTATAATTTTGGTAAAGATAATTAGGACAGAAAAGGACCAAAGGCAGAAATAAGTAACATAAATTTATTATTCTTAAAAGTCTGACAGATTAGGTTAGGACATAGGACAAATTCATCATTCCAAAGACCATAACACACTTATGGAGTAATTTTTTTTATACACATATTGCCAGTGGGTGTGTGTACTTGCCAGAGAAAGACACAGATAGTGGGAGATGGAGAAAGCACTGTCCAAAGGGGTATGGTCACATCACAATCCCCTCACCATTTCTCCATCCTGTTAGGATTTGGGGCACACATGAACACGCACCCAACCTGTTTTTCAAGCTGCTGGGACTGAGACTCAAATTGCATCGTCATCCATGTAGGATCTGGCTCCCTTAACCACAAAGTCATGAGGCCAGCCCTATAAAGTAATTTTTTCAATGAAGAGTTTCAATAGTACAAACACAGCTTTTTTTCAAAAAAAAAGCATGTATCTGTATTTATTAAAATAGTTTCCACACTACTCCCCACATCTAAATAAATCTAATAAAAAGATTTAAAAATTACCTGAAATTAAATAAATACATTTTGTCAAAACAGTCAATTGTCATTTAATTTTCTGATACAAACAGCTTTCTGGTTGTTAGATTTTTATTGAACATTTTGTGAAAAGCTAAAACAGTCTTATCAATTTAGCTGTACTTCTTTCCCTTTATCAATTTAACTGTATTTCTTTCCCTTTCATGTGCACATTACAAATCTTGTCTTAAAATTGTTTATAAGGCATTTTCTCGAAGACATTTTAACAGCTTGATCAGTCACACACACACACACAGGTTAATTCCACCGCTGACCACAGTTAATACAACATACAGCACAGTTACAGTAAAGGTAGAAAACTTACCTTGGCACCACTTTGAAAGTCTGTGCTTTTCCCCACCATTCAAATGATGAGCTGCACTTCCTGATGCTAACCTATAACATCAGACTGGGGTTTTGCTGTCAATTATCAAAACAAAGGAAGCAGACAGAAAGGAAAGGCAATGTGCCATTTGTAAAGGGAGGCAATGTCCATAGCTCACCTTTCCAAAGCAGAATCAGTTTCTCTACCTGTGGTACTTTACACTAATGTTCCCACTTCTTATTTGCTCTCTGCATTATGATGATGCACCCAAGGCCTCTTCCAGTTGTTTTCATAGCTCCTCCCATTGTAGCGGGTGTTGTATATTTCCCCTGCCCCACGGATGCCTGGCCCTGTGCCTTGCTTCAGATAAATCAATGTAAGCAGCTTGATGGCGCAGATTCTGAGGCAGGGCCTTCAGAGGCACCATGTGTTTTCACACTGCTTTGTGCCTTTGCCAGTCACCATGACAGGAGCATGCCCCAGAGAGCCTAGAACTGGCCTCATGGAGCAGACCCAAACATAGTCCCGCAGCCTGGAGCCAGGGTCAGCTAAAGTCACACCAGGTAGAGTGAACCTTGGCCAACTCTCAAGCCAGTGAATGAGGACAATAAATATTTGTTGCAAGTCATTGAGATTTCGTGTCTGTTAGTTTAAACAGTTGTCTTATACACTCACTCTCTATCATATCTGCCCTTACTAGAAAAACTATAATTATTAAAACCTCTAAAAATGTTTAGCTGAGAGGCCTTAATGAATACAGAATTTTTACTCTGCAATTTAGATTAAAAATATGCCTAAGGTCTTTGATACATTAAGAAAAAATGGAACACCCATTTCCTCATTCATACTAAGATCCACACACAAACTACATTTCATTTAAAAAATTAAACTTATTTAATAGGCGTTGCCCTTAATCATCTGGAGAATAAAATGGTCATCTGGAAAATCATGATGCATTTTTGCATAGAAAAACAGAGAAATACGTCATAACTTTACCAATGACCTAATATATATGAACATATCCATCTCAGAAAAGAAGTTTGTAAACATATTTCATAATCAGCAGATCTGGAAAAAAGGTCCCAATAAACAAAACTAACAGTGCCTTTCAAGCTTTCTCCTCTAATTTTCCCATCATACCAAGCCCTCATTTGACAGCAATGATAAAGCGGTTATGCCTCCAAAAACAGAAGAAAGAAAAAAAAACCTGTCAGCTTGACGCTTTCATGAGTCCTAGCTCCTCTGCTATAGTTCCTAAGGCCATCCATCATATTTAACTTAAAATAAATCCAAAGAGGTGAAGGTTTCTCAACCATGAATATCAGAACTGATATGTAAAGGCAGACGGGTTGTCTTCCGTTCTGTAACTCAAACATATACTTACAAGCAGGAGAGACAGCAATCTAGGTGTGTAGCTAATGGAAAGTGACACTGTTACGTACTTGTAGAGAATGTGTGTCTGTGTGTATAATTACTCATGTCTATATCTAGGAAGACAGAGCTTTGGCCAAAGTATAGTCTCATGGCAGGTATGTGTCAATTAGAGATTAATAATGCTCACCAAAGCCACTGCCCTCATTTTCATTCTCAGTAGTGTTACATGTTACAACGCCATCAAACCAGCCTGGTAGATAGC